CCGTGAGCTTTAAGGCTGGGTGGGGATTTGAACCCTGTTCTCCCCCAGGTCTTAGGTAAGCCATTCACCAGGTGTAGGTAAAGGACAGGTAAGAAATGCATTCAGAATAGTAGCAGCCATTTGCATCCCACCCTCTGGTCCGGGGAGGTCAAGGTGGGATATGTAGCTCTCTGCTCCCTCACCCCCTATTTTACCCTCACAATAACCCTCCGAGGTAGGATGGGAGGAGAGTAAGCTGATAGCCCCCCAGGTCACCCCCCCTTGGTGAGCTTCATGGCTGGGGGGGGATTTGAACCCGGGCCTCTCCCAGGTCTGACGCTCTAACCACTAAGCCAGCTCTGGTTCTTTCTGGGGAGTGGAAGGGCAGCGGGGTTTGAGGGGTACCAAGGAGCTGGGGTGGGATTTGTGGTAGCGGAATTTGTGAGACGCAGCAGAATGTGTGTATTGGGTGAAGATCGCTGGGTTGGAAATTGGGGGTGTCCTTGGGGGAGAAAGGGGGTGCGATGGGGGATCCTGGGGGGATGGGGACAAGGGGAGGGTTATACTGACTCGTTTGTGGCATTCGTTAGCTGCCTTTTCCAGCTGAAGCTGAACGTTAAGCCCATGTTCATAAAATGCAATGGGAAAGAAGGCACTGCAGTGAAGCCATTTCGTCATCAATATGTATTGGGGGTGCGGGGGGGGGGGACACCACCACCTGGGAGAGCCAGGAGGCAAGTCCCCAAGGGCCATCCTAAAAAAAAGGAAGAAGACATTGTCTTGATGACAGGCCTGCAGTGAAGGGGCCACACCACACACCTGCGAGTGTGGAGAGGTGTTGTCCAGGTGCAGTGCTGCAGCTAAAAAGTCCTTGCCCCGTGTCAACCCAACCTCTCGGCTGAGGACCTTAACACGTGAGCTGCTCCCTATAGGGAAAGGAGTCTCTATTTTTTTATTTTCAATACCACCCTCCATCTGAGGGGTCGCTGGGTGTTTTACAATACAAAAAACACAAAAATACACAACGTAATGACAGACAAAACAATGCCCCCGTCAACCCAAACACAGAATATTGTAGGGATGGCTGCAATAGATGCTATAGGGGAGATGAAGTGGGGGTTGCTTAGGGTGGCCTAAGGGTGGACAAGTCACAATGGCTGTCTTCTGTCTCCCCACACCCCCCTCGGTTATGAAACACTCTTATTATGGGTTGACTTGGGGTGAATTTTCTCCAAGGGGCTCTAAGTGGTGTACATAGTTTCCCCCTTCAACCCCCACAACCACCCTGTGAGGTAGGTTAGGCAGAGGGGCAGTGACTGGCCACCAAGATCACTAAGTGAATGGGATATTGGAACCTTGGCTTCCCAGGTCCCAGGCTGGCACTCTTGACAACTGGACCACACTGTCTTTCTCTAGTTTCTTGCCATGAGACCTTTGTTGACAGAACAGGCTATGCCTCCGAAGAAATAATGGGAGCAGGTAAAGGTGGCTGTTTATGAAGTCGTGTGGGCATGAAGGGTCAAGGGGGCAGGTGCAAGGAAGTGTGGCATGTGGCTTATAAGAGTTTGGCACGTTCCAGATTCTCCCTCATTCTTTATTCCATAAACAGCATATGTTTTGCACTCACGGAAATGATCAGTCTGTATTTATTGAGCCTGAAATAATGTGCCAACAGTTTTCCGCCGCTGAAAATGGTAAAACACCCTTCTGCTACTTGGCAGGATTGGCCTTCTGCCGTTTCAAAGGCTGTCCTGCAACAGAAACCCTTGTCAACGGAGACAAATAACTACTGTCCAAAAAGCTGCCTGTGGTTATTATGAGCTGCGTATCCAAATTGAGTGGATGTATCAACTAGCCCAGGGGTCAGCAACTTTTTCAGCAGGGGGCCGGTCCACTGTCCCTCAGACCTTGTGGAGGGCAGGACTATATTTTGAAGAAAAACAACAACGAATTCCTATGCCCCACAAATAACCCAGAGATGCATTTTTAAATAGATGCACACATTCTGCTCATGTAAAAACACCAGGCAGGCCCCACAAATAACCCAGAGATGCGTTTTAAATAAAAGCACACATTCTACTCATGTAAAAACACGCTGATTCTCGGACCATCCACGGGCCGGACTTAGAAGCTGATTGGGCCGGATCCTGCACCTGGGCCTTAGCTTGCCTACCTATGAACTAGCCAGAGTGGTGTTTGGAGAGCCCTTCATAGCCTGAAGGTTGGTCGGCGGGGGGGGGGGGGCGGCGGGCAAAGGAATGCCACTTGAAAAAGCAGCAGTTAGGGCTGTGGCATTGCAACACAGCTTGTTGTGAGATGAAACGGAACCTTACCCATAACACTTCTTCGCACGTTTCATTGGATGGGGCGGAATCCAGGGGGCACTTCTGCCAGAGTGGCTGTAATCTCTTGGGATGGAGCTTGCATGAACTGACCCCTTTTTCCTATCGTCCATTGAGCAGATGTCTTCAACAGGCGATTTCTAAATCTCCTTCAATTAGCTAGAGTGGAAATGCCTCTAATTGCTGGGAAGTGAAATGCAAGTGAAAATTTAAAAGTGAAGCAAGCCTTGGCCTCTGCCCACCCAGAGACATTTCTGTTTATGCAGGAGGGTGCCGACCAGTCCCCTTTAGTGGATGTGCTTGAAAAGTATCGCCTTTCTCTAAAAGCATATTGATTGGTGGACGTGCTTCCGGAGGCTTTTCTCTTGGCAGAGTTGCTTCTTCTGATTGATACATCTCGTCCAAATGGACAGAGCGCTGGCTTGTAATTCACTTAGGAAGGGCAATTAATACATCTGGTGTGACGATCAAAGCTCTGCAGCAACACTCAGAGCGAGTGTGTTGTTGTGTTGTTTTAGTTACAGGCACCAGCAAGCAGGCTTCTCTTTGCCAAATGTGCAGCCCTGGGGATGTTCCACAGTTGCGGGGCAGCCGTTGTAAAATTTCCAGGCTGGGAGTGCAGCGAATCCAGGAGGTCCTTATCTAATCTTTTGGCTTGCGACAGAGCTAATTTGGTTTGGGATGGGGGTGTTCCTGTATCATCTGCAAAAGCTTTTTTTGTTTTTCTTTGAAGTGGAGAGATTCCCCTTCTGGTTGCTTAGGATTTGCACTTCCTACAGCAGCCCACAAGCCACATTCATTTCTTCAATGTTTGTATGTGGTTCACAGGCACCTGGAGAATCCATTACTGTAACATAATGCAATAATAGTAAACTCAGATCTCTGAGTGCTGGTCCTTGTGTGTCCGAAATGGCGCCATCCATGCAAAAGAAAGAGGTACCAGAAGGCTTTGGAATACATGAAGGGCAGGGAGAGGAGGCAAAACAGCCAGTAAGATCTGAGCGTATTCAATGCCATGAGATGCTGGCTCACTGCTTAGAGGCGAGGGAATGGAGTATCCTGGAGCAGGGCATAGCTGGCTAGGGCCCTCAACAGTAATACTCCATACAGCAGTATATTGTTTTAATTCTAGCTCTCATGGTTACAGAAATGTAACTTGAGAAACAGACTTGGAGAAATAGGTTCCAGCCCAAGGGCCAAATCTTTATCTCCCCCATGGGCCAAGTTTGACTAGGTGGGCCTTCACCAGCCACATTTGTTAAAATGATGTCCAAAATGTAACTTGTCAGCAGTGTGATACCAATATTTGTATCTTTGTTTTTCAGAACAGCTCAAAAGGGGTGTTTTAACCTGGCAACAACAGTGTGACATAGATTAGCCAAGAGAATGTCACCTGCCCAGGACCACCCTCTCTGTCTGGCAGCTTAAGAGGAGTCTGATTTGGGGTTTTCCTGATCCAAGCTACTACACTAACTGCTACCATCTATCACGGGATCTCTTGGACCTGGTGAGCTGAGCAAGTGATGGAAGAAATCTGCTCCCAATAAACCCTTGCTCAGAATAAAGAGGCAGCCTGTATATTCAGGTAGCTCCTTATCAGATGCATTTCTGCAGGCTTGGATCAGATGCTATCTCCAGTTAATTGGGGGAACAACCCCTGCCTGCACCAGTAAGGCCTCCCAGGATGTCCTAGTTGTGTAGCTTGACTGAGTGCTGTGTATTGTAGCTCTTTCACAAGGTCACTGGGTTTCTCTACGAAACTCTGATTTCTATCCACCAGTAGAACTGAGGCTGATACTGATTGTCCCAGGATATATATGAGATGGATGACTCAAAATTGTGTTTGTCTAGGTCTGTAGTAAAAGCGAGTCTAGTCTTGCCAGGAGTTGATTGTCTTCCAGCTCATTTTAACCTCTTTTACCCCTTGGACGTGCCAACCAAAAGAGAGGTTTGTTGCAGGGGGTTGTATCTCATGATAATAACTAATCATGGAAGAAATAGAAAAGCACTCTCAAAATGTTTCACGAAATTGACAAACCCTCCGATGCAAAAAGCAGATCTGTAGCTCTTGGCCCCTTCTGGCAAGCTGACACTGTTGTGTATAATAACTAGCTTGGAACCACTTCAAAGGAGGAGAGGATCTCTCAGCGAGGAAGCAACCGAAGGAGAACCCAGGGAAACTGAAGATGAAACCATTTGTAAACCTGGCAATAGTCCCTCAGGCATGTGGCACAATTGCAAATACTTCATGAGGGGAGGGGGAATTATTTGGCTTTGAAATGTTTGCCGTTGGAATTGCCTCTCTGCAAATGGTGAGGGCTAGAAACTTGCTGCTTTAAACAAGATGAGAACTAGAATTCTCAGGGTCTAATGAACCCTGGGGCAAAAGAGCCCTGGGGGTGAGCTGTGATTCTTACTGGGTATCTACAAATTGCCGTTTGCTGGAAACCCCCAGCTGCAAGGTTGGAGGAGGAAGAGATGTGATTGACTCTGGCAGCGCGAAAGAATGCTCTCAATACGAAGCACCAAACAAGGCCTGAAAGCTAGCCAAGAAGCAGCTTTCTCTTGCCAGCGAAAACATTAACTAATCCCAGCAACATTTTAAAGAAAATGCTCAACTTCTGGTAACGGAACAAACCTGCTGGATGAATAAATATATTGTTCTTTGCCTCTTACAACTCTGGCTGGGGATAAAAAGACTTGTGGAAATAAGACTCCGGAAGCATCGTTGTTGAGTTCAGGAAGCGGACTGCTTGTAGGCAGTGGGAGGAGAGGGGAGGACAAGGTGGTCCTGTCTAGTATTACCCCAAAGTTCTGGTCATTCAGACTCCCTGCTGTACTACTGCATTTCCCCAAATCTCCCAATATCCTCTCTTTAAAAGATGCTGCTTGCATTGGCCATGAAGATTTGAATGAAAAATTCTGCTTGAGCATCACTGCTTCTTCTTACGAGTGAGTAACTTCAGAACCAAACCCATTGCCTATTCTTGATCAGAGTATGGTTCAGTCTACTCCACCTTTCCAACTCCTAGCAGTGGCCGGCTAGAAACTTATAAGCATGTGGTATATTCTGCGGTATATTGCCTCTGCATGAGGAGGCTCTCCTTTGTTGTCACAGGGGGTGGAGCCCCTCCCCTAGGAAATAAGGTGCCAATGTTGGGGGTCTTTTAGTTTGTGGGGAGGAAATTGATAAAGGACATGATAAAATAATGCATGGTCTGGGGGAAAAGGAAGTTTTCATCTGTCTCATAGTACCAGAGCCCAGGACCATCTGATGCGGAAGCTGAATGTTAAAAACATGGAATCTTCTGCCACAAGGTGTAATGGCAGCCAGAAAGTTGGATGGCTTTAAAAGGGGTTTAGCCCGATTTCTGGAGGATAAGGCTATTGGCGGGTGTGAGCCGCAATGGCTGTATTCTGCCTCCACCACCAGGAGTAGAATTATCCTGAATTCCATGTGATGGGAATCCCAAGTGGGAAGAGCTGAGGTTGCTCTCAGGCCCTACTTATCACAGGGATCAGGCTGGCCACTGTGGGTAACATGATGCTCGACTAGGTGTAGATGAGACCTCTGCTCCATGAATTTATCTAATTTTTTAAAGCCGTCTAAATCAGAAGCACTTGCTTCCCTCTTAATGAATTCTGTGTGTGAAATTGTACTTAATATTTTCAACTGCTATATGTATAGCTCATTGTTGTAGGGAGCCCAAGAAGAAAGGGCCCTGCCCTGAGATGCTTACGATCTAAAATTTGACCCCCGGGCATCACCTGCTACCTGGCACCTGCAATTATCAAGGAGGATATTGTTTGGTTTGTTGCTATGTATTTTTGTGGTTTTGTAAAGCGCCCTATGATCCTTCAGATGTCCTCTAAATGTCAGATAGTTTTTTATTTCTTTGACATCTGGTGGGAGGGCGTTCCACAGGGCAGGCACCACTACCAAGAAGGCCCTCTGCCTGGTTCCCTGTAACTTCGCTTCTCTCAGTGAGGGAACTGCCAGAAGGCCCTTGGAGCTGGACCTCAGTGTCCGGGCAGAACGATGGGGGTGGAGGAGCTCCTTCAGGTATACTGGGCTGATGCCGTTTAGGGCTTTAAAGTTCAGCACCAACACTTTGAATTGTGCTCGGAAACGTACTGGGAGCCAATGTAGGTGTAACCAAGTGCAGCCTGTATGTAAAAAAAGGTCTGCTTTTTAAAAAGTCTTCCTGTTGAAACCTTGCTACTTGATTTTTGTCTTCTTTCAAATGAAAAAATTCATGGTTTTGAGTGGAAAGGAAAAGACGGGGGGGGGGAGGCGGAAGAGATATTTTTACATCTGAGTTGGAAGCCTCGTTATTTTGCAGAGCCTTGTGCTCTAATTTTGAGTGCCTGAAGAACATATGGAAGACTGTCTCTTTGAACCTCTATGCTCGAGGGGGGGGGAGTCTCCCATCTGTTCAGTGTACAGTTTGATGCGTTCATAGACTGGACAGGGTGGAAGCCTCTTGCCTGTGCCCTTTGTGCTATTCACAATTTCATGGATGCATATTGATAATGTGGTGGTGTGGACAGAGCCAGGCATCTCAAAATCCGATACCTGGAAGCTTTAATTATTATTTTTTAAGGCTTGTGCTGCAAGGTGCCTAAGTTTAATTCTATCACCTTAAAAAGCCACTTCTGGTGTCTAGGAATAATTTTAGCTCATATATATATATATATATTTAGAGTGATGTTGAACTTGAATGGCATTACTTTGGTGACTTACAGATGCAAATAGCCTGACATGTGGAAATGTGATAATTGGGCAGGGGAAGTAGACACAAGACAGATGGGGAGCCTGTTGTCTTAACACTGCAGGAGAAAAACGTAGCGTGGCTGCAATTTTAAGGCAGCGAACTCCGAATTGATTAAAAATGGAAGTACTCTGAGAATCCATTAGACTGTCTGTTGGTATGCCCGTACTTCCAACAATTTAAAGCCGCATTTTCTGCCAGAACGGCACTTGGAGTGACATGCAACATGGCAATGAAATAAAGCAGTAATAAAAAATTCACAAAACACCAACATAATCCTAAAAGCCAAAGACAGATAGATGAAGCAGCAGCAGCAGTTAAGAACAGGGCACAGTCAGCCAGAAGGAATTCTTGAAAAAGAAGAAATGCTTTTGCCAGCTGTTGAACGGACAACAAGGAAAGATTTCCTGGGGAAGCAGCCTCTGCAGATGGAGTGGCACCACGACTGTATATGTTGAGCCCCTGTGTCTTCCAGCCTCCCCAAATGTCTCTCTTGTCAATCTGAGAGAACGGGGCGGAATGTATGGGAGCAGGTGCTTCCTAAGGTACTCAGGACCCCGGCCATTTAGGACTTCAAAGCTCAAAACCTGCATATTAGATTACATCCAGGAGCAAATAAGCAGCCAGTGAAGCTTCCCTCTGAAGATCAGATAGTGTCCATACATGGCTTGTAAAACCTCAAGACAGGTCTGAGGCAGTTTGAGGCTGGACGTGCTTGTGCAAGCTCTGATCGCCAGACCAAGCCCCACCTCCACATACCTAACGGATCTGTGTTACAGGTGGGAGCCAAGTTATCCTTTGACACTCTTGAGTAATTTATCTTTCAGGGGCTGGGAGAACAGGCAAGTTCGGGGTGGCGGTGGGGCTCTGCCCCCCTGCTCAGTGAACTTGTCCGCTGCCTCCAGTTTTGCCTGTTAGTGCGCCTCTGATCTTCTCTAGCCTGGTTTGTTGGGGGTCCTCTTCCAGGGGATTTCGAAGGTCTGTTCTGAGCATCCATTATGGCACTGAGTCAGTGCCGGGCTCTAGTAGCATGGCAGCCAGGTTTGAGCTCTGTGATCTGCTGGGATGCATTTTGAGAATTCTCTTCTAATGGTAAGCGGTAGAAAAATATTATTAAGTTAACTAAACGAACTGTATAGATTACGTACCCCTAGCCTCTTCTTCTAGATGCTGTAGGTCTTGAAGCCAATTGGGGATCAGGTGGTTTTGTGAATGGATCCCCCAAATCCAAGGTCTCATTGCTGACTCTCTCTCTCCTCCACCCGCCCTGCAATGGTGTGGGCAGCACGGGAATGTTAATGGCTTGCCCATTTCTACCGTGAATGACTTTTTTGTTGCTGTTGTGCAAGAAATTTCCTGGCTACCCAACCTTGCCTCTTGCCCTCGAGTTCAACTGCACCTGCGTCTCTTAATAAAAGCAGATTTTCTCTGGCACGGAGGAATGTGCACAGTGGAGTCAGGCAGTCTGCTTTTGAAAAACAACCGCTGTGCATCGTCCTTGTGCAGCCGATATCTCCCGGCAGTTCTCCCAGCTTGCGCAAGGCTTTGCTCAGGATTTGGGCCTTGCTTTTCTCCAAGGTTTCCATAATTGTTAAGATGGAAGCTTTCACTGTGCTCTTCTTCCTCCATCCCTCCCCCCCCCCCTTTTCTCTCCAGGCTTAATGGGAACACACTCATTCAGGAAAGAAAAGAGAGGCAATTTCTGAGCGCTTTGCTGATTTGGCTAATCCCAGATAGCTAATTCTCTTGTATGGGCCCAGTGAGGCAGGCTGCTGCGTAAGTCCCAAACACAGCTCAGCAGCAGCATTTGTGCACCCGCATTGGGGGAAAAAAATCTTTGTGCTGCTTTGCTTTCCTCCAAGGAAGAAGACCTCTGCTTTTTGCTGGCACCTGCTCCCTTTATGTGGCTTTAATGGGAGAATTCAGAACTAGGGCTGCTGCAGAGAGGATATTAGGGGGGCAGGAACCCCCAGCTCTCAGGGCCTTGGACTTCCATAATCCCACCCTTCTCATATTCCTCGCCTTGTTGTTCTTTAACCCTTTGAGTTAGCTCCTTGAAATAGCTGTGGTGTTCTGGTAATTGGTGAAGCGCAGGGCAGCCTCCCTTCCGTTAAGAAGATTCCCAAAAGACAGACAGCTGTGTTGATCTATTATTTTGCTTACACCCACAGAGCAGAAGGAGCGCTGAGCAGAAGGCCCAGTTTATTAGACTCAGCACAGCTGCATTCCTGAGCGTGATTCCCTGGGAGGGAGCGCCACTGATCTCAGAGGTGTTGACTCCTGGCTGAATCGGGTCAACTTGTAAAACACCTTGAGCTTTAACAAAAGATACTCAGCCAGCTGAATTTCAGTCTCTAGCTTTTAACTGGAATTGCAGACCATCTTCCGAATAATTATTACTGTTTGAAATGCTGGCGTGAAGTTAGGAGCTGCATCAGATAAAAGGAATGGATCCGACCTCTTTGAGATTGTTGCCTTCATTCTCAGGCTGCTTCTATGCTAATTTGTCTGTCTGTCGTGCAATTAAACTGGAAAGTTTCATTATCCCTTTATTTGCTTCCCAGTAGCTGTAGTGCTTGTACAGGTGAGCTCATTGCTCCTGCTCTAGATAAAAGCCCAGAAGGAGCTGCACTTCTCTGCATTTCCCCTCCTCCACTTCACCAGTGGTTGAAGCACCATCTCTTGTGCAAGCTGCTCTTGGAAATAAAATCCTGTAGAGGGGGAACTCCTTCTCTTCGAGCCAGTTGCATCTGAGAGATGCACACTTAAGCCCAGGAACTGCAGAGGAAAAGGAAGCTCAAACCTCCCTCTCATGTGATTAAAGGTACAGTGGTACCTTGGGTTACATACGCTTCACGTTACAGACTCTGCTAACCCAGAAATAGTGCTTTAGGTTAAGAACTTTGCTTCAGGATGAGAACGGAAATCGGGCTCCGGCGGCGCGGCAGCAGCAGGGGGCCCCATTAGCTAAAGTGGTGCTTCAGGTTAAGAATAGTTTCAGGTTAAGAACAGACCTCCGGAACGAATTAAGTACTTAACCCGAGGTACAACTGTAAAGGTAAAGGGACCCCTGACAGTTAAGTCCAGTCATGAACGACTCTGGGATTGCGGCGCTCATCTCGCTTTACAGGCTGAGGGAGCCGGCGTTTGTCTGCTTCCGCAGACAGTTTTTCCGGGTCA